GGAATTTCCTAGTCTGTGGGCAATAAAAACACGGCGTCCACTCACCCTCTGCGCTTTCACTGGGAGCTGCAATCCTGAGCTGTTCCTAAACGGCCATCTTGGATCATCCCCAAAAACGCTTATTTTTAATAAGAACACTTTCTATCTAAATCAGGGTGACTTTTTAAAAAAAATCCAGAAGCTTTATGTTGAATTATATTACAGATTTAGTTACCAGTCCTTGTTAGAGTTACCATCAGTTGACATGCTATAGAATTGTCTTGCCCCTTTTATAAGAAAATTCATTACTTAAAATCACTCTATTTTCTTCCCTCTTACATAAATAACAGAAAGGCTCACTATGTCCCAAATATCATTTGCAAAAACACACCATAAAGTCATAATCTCTGTGCAGTGCAAGTCTAGAAATACTCTGTGTTTCTTTTTTTCTCCCCCATCCCTTCCCTTTTTCCTCCCTTCCCTCCTTCCCATTCTCTCTCTCTCTTTCCTTTGCCCTCTGATCACCGTTGCCCTTTGATTCTTCCCACCGAAACCCTAAAACACAGAGTACACCTTATATCATTCCTATGAGAATCTAAAGTCACAACTTTTAAACTTATTCTGCCATCCCACAGCAAAACTCTTGGCATCAAGATAAATATGTAGCACATTGACATCAGTATGAACCATTGCTATTTTAAATGAACAAATACTAAACTGAAAGAGAGTGTCTGGAAAAAGAAACTGCCTATCAATACACATGAAAATAGTAGCTATAGAATTTCTCATTGTAAACAGTCAAGGTAATTCCATATAAGCAATCATTAATGTTATTCACTACCGGTAGATGAACACGTGCCAGCAAAAATAATGTCGTGTATACATTACTCCAAATTGTATTAAAGGCACCACAGTAAATAGCCTGCTCATTTTTTGATTCAGAAATAAATTGGACTTCCAATTCTAACGCCAACTCATCTTACAGAAAGTCAACATAAAATGTCATTAATCTAGTTACTGACTTGTAACTAGACAAACCATCTCTCTTAAAATGGCACCACGGACTTTTTTTAAAGTAGCTCATCTTTATTTGATGAATCTAAAAGGCCTAAATGCTGAAAGAAAATAACAAGCTATTGTTAACTATTAATAACAAAGTAATATATCAAATCATTCAGTCAAACTCTGACTTAAGAAATGTATCATCACCAATAAGACAGTAAAGGCTCTTCTAACATTGCTTTGTTGAGACAATTCATTTTGTCTTATGGCAGGCTGTACCAATGTCACAGACATGAGACAGGTGAGAAGAAGGAAACGCGGGGCCAGAGCAAAAATTCCCAGTGACCACGACGATCTGTCTGAATCACAGCAGAGTTGAAACATACAAAATCGAATACAGGACAATCACAGCGCTTCAACTAGTTTGACCACAACATGTATGCGTTAAAATGTTGGTTTTTATAATGAATCCTAATAGTGTAAGATTAGCAATAAATTTAAAACAATGTTCCCAGAAATCTTAATGAACAAAAACCACTGAACAATCACACCCCAAGTCTCAAAAATATCAAGGAAATATAATCCACAAAGAGAGACTCCAAATGTCAAAATCATTAAAGAATAGTTGCTACAGTGCATTCATTGAATTCAAATAATTCAATAAAAAATGTAATTTAACTTCATTACCAACTTTCTTAAAAGCACACTCAGCAAGTCCTTGCTTAGGATTCTTTATATTCTTCTGCTGCATCTTTAGTCTCCTGCTCACCTGCACATAAAAACAATAACCAAAGTTATTAGAGATTCAGAAATATATGCATAATTAAGAAAATAACCTGCAAAATATTAAATCCTTTAACAGATGAGGCAATAATCGCATTCTCATTTAATATTTATTGAGCAGACACCACAAGCTGCAGACAAAGTTTACAAGAAACACAGAAAGATCTGGGTGCCTACTCTCTACTCTCATTGAGCTTATAGCTCAGGGAGAACACTTCAGGTTTTGGAGCTAAAATACTATGGATGTGAAGACACACACAGAAGTTAATATTTTGCTTTCTACTGAGTTCCTGGGAAGTAGGGTGAGACCAAAAGTAAATGTTATATGTAGAACAGATAAGAGCTGATCGCCTTTCATTTCTTGAAGTGCAAAAAAAATATTGTGACATTAACAGAAATGGAGTGGAAATATATTTCTACCCTTAGTGAGAAGGTTATCAGAAAATGCAGAACTGACAATAGAACTAAATTTTAAAAGACAAAGTAACAGGAGAAACCAGAACCTTCATGCATGACTGATAGGAATGCAAAATGGTGCGGTACCTTTTAAAACAGTCTGGCAGTTCCTGAGAAGGTTACCATAGACCTGGCAATTCCACTTCTAGGTATATGCCCAAGAGAAATAAAAGCATACATCCACACAAAAACTTGTACACAACTGTTCATATCAACATTATATATAACAGCCAAAAAGTGGAAACAACCCAAATGTCCATCAAATGAAGAAAGGATAAGCAAAATGTGATATATCCATATAATTGACTCTTATTCAACAATAGAAAAGAATGGAGTGTGGATACATGCTACAACACGGATGAATCTTGAAAACATTAGGCTAAGTATAAGACGCCAATCACGAAAGGCTGTATATTGTATGATTCCATTTATATGAAATGTTCAGACTAGGCAAATTCACAGAGACAGGAAGATTAGTGATTGCCTAGGGCTGGGGTTGGGGAAAAATGGGAAGTGATTACTAAGACCTACAATGTTGCATTGTGGGGGGTGAAAAATATATAAAATTGATAGTGGTGATGGATATACAACTCGGTAAATATACTACAAACCACTGTACACTTTTAATTGGATGAACTGTGGGAAACTGATGAACTGTGGCTCCCAAAAAGTCACATCCTCATCCCTGGAACCTGTGAAAGGGGTCTTTCCAGATGCAATTAAATTAAGCATCTTGAGATAAGATCATCCTGGATTCTCTGGCTGGGCCCTAAATTCAACAACAAGTGTTGTTATACAAAAAAGACAGAGAAAGATTAACACACACACAGATAGAGGGAGGCAATGTGAAGACAGAGGCAGAGCCTGGAGTGACGTGGCCACAAAGCCAGGAATGCCCACAGCCAGGAGAAGGTGGAAGCAGCATGGAAGCGTTCTAGCATTCTCTCCTAGGGCCTCCAGGTGGTGTGTGGCCTTGTGACATCTTGATTTCAAACTTCTGGCCTCCAAAACTGTGAGAGAATAAATTTCTATTGTGGTAGTTTGTTGTGACAACCATAGGAAACTAATGCAAGTATACAAATTATATCTCAATAAAGCTGATATTTAAAAAAAGAATCCACCTCATAATTAATGGCAGATGACTTGCAGTTTCAGAACAAAGTGATAAATGTAGTGATACTGTCAACACATGGAGAAGAAATATTAAACAGGATGTAGAGGGAGGTGGAATGAATGAAAAGTAGATCACGATATCCCTCATGCATGAGGTGGGAGATGATGAGACATAATTCCACGCCTTCCTAAGTGCTATTCTCTCACTACGAGGTGTTCTTTTTGCCCACCCAGCGAATAACCACGCATCCTTGGAGGCTCAACTGAAATGCTACCTCCCAACCCTCTGTAGTGTTGTCTATGTACTTTGTCCTGAAGCTCTTACTATACTTGTCCCGCCCTACTGTAATTATCTGCACTTAAAATTTATCATCAATAGACCCAGATTGAGTAATAAAATTTTTCATCAATAGACCTAGAACAATGGTCCTCAACTGGGGGAAATTTTACCCCCAAAGAACATTTTTTGCCATGTCTGGAGACATTTTTGTTTGTCGTAACTGCAGTGGACACTACTGACATCAAGTGAGTAAAAGCCAGTATTCCGTTAAACACCCTACAATGTCCAGCTCAAAATGCTAACTGTGCTGAGGCTGAAAAACTCTTAGAACTTAGGAAAGCATCTGATACACAGTAGAAACTCATGAAATGTTTGTGGGGCACATGGATGAATGAATGGATGGTAGATGGACAATGAATGAAGATCACGGAGCCCTGGGGTTTTAAAGCATGGCTGCACAACAGAATCACCCAGACCCTGTTCTCAGAAACTGACTTAAACTGCTGCTGCCAGAACCCACCCCTCAAAGTTGATTTAGTTCACTTGGGACGGAACCAAGGCGCTAATGTTTTAAATCTCACCAGGCCAGAGGTAAGAGGCAGCATGGGCTAAGGAACAGACTCGGGACAGCTTAAATGCCAGGCCGGCTCAAGGCAGATGCAAGTAGAGAGACTGGACAATCAAAAGCACGCAAAGCGTAGAGAGTTCCATAGTCTCCAAATAAAATATTAACTAGGAAAGAGCAGAGAATTGAAGGGAGCGTCCCAGGGCATGCTTGCTCTGAGTGACCAAGAGGAAGCTTGCCCAAAAGAATGGCAATATGAATGGTTGGAGAGATACCAAGACAATGTGGATATAGCAGTATCTTCATTAAAAAGAAATTTAAACTACAAAAAATCAGCTGCGCATGGTGGTGCGTGCCTGTAATCCCAGCTACTCAGGAGGTTGAGGCAGGAGAATTGCCTGAACCCAGGAGGCGGAGGTTGCGGTGAGCCGAGATCGCGCCATTGCACTCCAGCCTGGGTAACAAGAGCGAACCTCTGTCCCAAAAAAAAAAAAAAGAAATTTAAGAAGAAAAAAGCAGAGATTCAGCAGACGGAAAAGAAGATACTTTCTGTACATTATTTTCACCCCCACCACCTACTTTTGATAATCCTAAAATAGAAGTAATTGGTAAACCATGTAGTCCAGAGCTTCTCACTCTTCAACATGCACAGAAATCACCTGCTGGAGTGTCTTCTGATTCAAGAGGTCTGCAGTGGCCCTGGGACTCTACATTTCTAACAAGTTTCCAGCTGATGGCAACACCACTAGTCCACAGATCTAGTTTACAGTCACCATAGCAGATCTTCAGTAACTTTTTACTTTACGCAATATGAATGAAGCAATAGAATCAGAAGCTTCCAATAATTGTTAAAGTGATAAGTACATTACAATTGATAAGTACATTACAATTAAATATCAAAACTCTCAAGCATGCCTTTTTTCATTTTACATTGCTAAACAAAATGACAGAGAAAAGATCACTAGCAAATATTTATGTGAAAAGTCTACCTCAAGAAAATTAGTTGAAAGGAAATTGAAAATGTAAATTAATCAAATATAAACTTACTATACACTGAAGTTTTATATTAAAAATGAATTAACACTAGAAATTTCTAATAAGGCATCTCTGATATTTTGGCCAAATAAACTTTGGAGGAGGGTTGGTTTGACCACACAAAGGGAGCTTAAATCACTAAGAGTACTGAAGAAGCAATGTGGAAAAGCCTTGGAAAAGTAATTTAACAAATAGTAACTATGAGGTCTGAAGGCACATCCTGTTTGAGACAAACAGAAAACTATTAAAGCCATGACGAGTTAAGGACTTACCTAAGAGCAATTCAAAATATTTTTAAAGGAAAAAGAAAAACAGCTAATAGGGTCACTGTTTCTAGAGTCTCACTGCTCTCCTGCAAACCAGTAAGACTGTACTATAACAAAGAAAATTTTCTGAAACAATCTAGTTCCCTTGAAACTGTTCAGCTGGTATGAGTAAGGACATATACCCGCTTCAAACACCTTCAAATAATGCCAAAAGTCAATCCACCTACAACCAGGCCTCATTCAGCAGTTACAATCAATGGGCAAAATTTCAACCTGAAGTATATTCAGATTATATAGTCGTCATTATTAGCAGATCTTTTTCTATCTGAGGACCCCAATAAGATAACATAATTAGCTTTCTTCCATCTAAGCGGAAACCTATAGTTCTCAGTGTTCACAGTGAAATCCTGTGACTAGCATTAATTTAGCAGCATGGACATTCCATCCCAGAAACTCTGATGGCAGCAAGTCTGGATAGGTCCTCGGACATAGCTAGAAAGCAAACAAACAAAAAACTCCCCAGATGATCTTGATACTCACTGTGGTTAGGAATAATGCTCTGTGGTTTGTAACAGTGCTTCTCAAACTTTATAGTCAGGAAGTATGGCCAGGGATCTTATTAAAATGAAAATTCTCGTGCCTTAGCATTTGGGTGGGCCCTTAGGGGCCCTGCATTTCCAACAAGCTCCCAGTGGTTGGACTGCACCACAAGCAGAGGAGACTTACAACATGGAATGGAAACTCAATGTCGCCAAAGGACCAAGCACACGAAGTAGAGAGGGCTAGGTGGGGGCCTTGTCTAAAGAGAGCATCTGCTACACATGGGTGGTGGCAGGACTTGCTGATTTGTCAGAAATGTCAGAAATCCAGGCTTTTATGGGAAAAATCTGACAATGTTAAATGCTATGTAAGCCAACCAAGTCCAGTCACAGAGCTAAATCATTTTATGTGAATGTCCTCATTTGATCCTCATTACAACCCTACAGGCTATTAAGCCATCTTACATCATAGGTAAGAAAACTGAGGTGCACAGGAGAGAGAGAGAGAGGGAGAGAGGGAGGGAGAGAGAGAAATTAAGTAACTTGCTTACGATCTCCACCCAGCAGCAGAGCAAGGATTCAAGCCCAGGTCCTCCCTACCCATAACCCACATTCCTTATCACTAGGCCACATCCCACTAGTGGGTGGAGGGCCATCCTCCCTCTGCTAATCTAGGTTCTAGCCTGGGATTCTGCTACTTACTTGTACTCTCTTAGTTTGGTCCTTTGAGTA